AATGAAAAGAAAACTTCCACGCAAAATTCGGCATTACAAGCCGGCCAAAGAAGAAATCTTCACCTTCCAGTGGTGCAGGTGAAATCGCACAGAATGCTCTGCATACCAGAAATAGCCGAGAAGAATCGCAACCGAATAGAATTCGAAAGCAGATACAAGCACATCTCCATTTGACGACTTATCGACAAGGACAGAATTATCATTCTCACGCGAGTTATCTACCTCAATATTACCACACCATCTCGCCTCTACCAATGATAAAAGTGTTACTCCAATTGCAATCGGGAATTTGCCTCATCAAAGTTCGGCCATTTTCAACAATAAAGTTATGATATTATGTATACCCGCGAGGAGGAAACTAAGTCATAATATACAAAGCTCGGATCTTGTCCATGGGGGAACGTCGCTCTAATGGGCCTTAGCAACTCGAGTGAGTATAGGCAACCGGGACGTGGGATGAGCGAGTGAAGAGGTCACAAATGAATATGCTGGGACTTGCAATTTTCTAATGGATTCTACTTTGGGGTACTTGTGGGCGCCAAGGTCACGATGTTGAGTAGTACTACTGAAACTCTAAAAACTGGCAACCGTGGAAAGCGTTTTGGTCAGCCTCCTGGCTATCATCTCTTCGAATTCAAGTCTGGATATCCTGGACACCTACCTCTCTGGAGAGAGAGAGAGGACTTTGAAGTCATTTCTCGCGCAGAGGCTATAAACAAGATGCCAGAAGCATTTTAGGGTAGCCAGAGGTTTTGCCAGTTTTCTTTTGGTGGATATTAACGGATGAGGGAAGGGTGAAAATCCCTAGCATAGAGGCCTCGAGTGGTATTGTCACGGAATGGGGTCGTGATATAAACAATCGAACGAAGTTAACGAAGTCTATTCTGATTATCTAAAACAATGATATAAAGAAGATGTCTCTACAGTGTATTTAAGAGTTTTCAGTACAATGATAATTTACCGGGGTAATGTTAGTGTTACCTAGGATCGACATTACTTAAGTGGGTCTCCAGACCTTATTTGGGGAATCTATCTTGGTAGCCTTAAGCCCGCAACAGGTATCAGCGAATGCACCCACTACATGATATTGAAAGGCTTTGCTAAGCTAGAATGACGTACTGTTAGGATGAAGGTATGGAAGGAGGTAGCTATGGCTTTAAGAGAAGTGAAGTTCGTGAGCTATACACTTAGGACTTGGATCAATGGACGAACTTGAGGATATTCCCCAGTATTCTCAAGTGTGTAAGTAATGTGGAGATGGTTTGAATTTCCTATTGTATGAATTTCTTAAGTTATCTAAGTGACAGGACCTTCCTCTACATACATGAATAAGGGGGTTCTGCACACTAGTGGATGTTCCAACATATATACTTCTCTAACCGAGAAAGAAAGGATGTGAGAGATCGTAGCGCCAATAGATACCATTAGGAATCTATTAGGAAATACTATTTCATACCAATGAGTGATGACCTAGGTCAATCATATCCCATGGCGCATGTGCACATTATTCTAATGTGAACAGTTTATTGTAATGCGGTCATGTTACTCCCTTAATTACAACACATGAGTGGTCCAAGTTTCGAACTGAGTTATCTTTGTACATAGTCTTTGGGGAAGAAGTAGCCTTCTCCGCGTCATGCTCGATGAGTGCTAGGCTTGTGCCCGTCATGAATAAATATTTGTTCATAGTTTATATAGCACTCAGTGTCCTAGTGGGAGTAATTAAAAACTCTCCACGAGAGATTTAAGCCCTCTTTTATTTTCCTACTCGCCTCACCAAGTCATATAATCAATGCCGAATAGCCACAAACTTTTGCAAACTTCTCCGCTAAACGAGTAGTATTTCAATACAGATGAGAGGTGAGCATATCAGTCTTAACTCCTATCAACATAGAAGGGAGGTCACCGGAGTAGTAAATCCAGAGGACCAGTGTGGATATCCGTCACAAAACATCAATTACATGGACTTGGCTTGTCTTTTGTGATGGCAAAGTGGCCGGGAAGGGCTCTGACTAAAGTCAAAACATAAATATGATTGTAATCAATGGGGAGAAAGAAGGATAAGTCAGCTAACTATGAAATGTTTATACGTAAAAGTGGATCAATATTAGTCCCATCTTTCATATAGCACATGACGAGTGTACTATGACATCCTTAGTGAGCGGGGGGAGAGAAGAGGTGCTGCGACAACCGTAAGATAGGTCTTTTGAAGCTATGATGAACAGACCCGATGATAGGAGGAGAATTACAAAGTGAATAATTGATAACGGCTCATTTGAACAGTTCTGGCCAGCAGAAGCAGTTGAGACAGCAGTCAATGAGAGGATGTAGCGATGGGGAAAAGGATTGGACGTAATTCACACTGGATGATCAGCGTGAACTCACTTCCCCAAGGGAAACCTACAAATCCAATGAAGATGAGACAAAGAAGAGATAGCGGCAGGGAGTTTTCAGCAAATTACATTCCTTATCCACAAATAATGAAGATAGTTAGATGAATATGCGCACCTCATGTGGTCCCGGTGTCTAGGCCTCGCCTGGCTGGGCCTGGGTCAGAGAGGAGCCCAGTGTGCTAGAAAGTCTATGACTGAAGTGGTACAATGAAAACACCACTCATTCTCTCTTAACATATCGTAATCATGGCCAGTGTAGCTCCGCTTACTGAGCCCAAAATTAAGTGCAAAGGTTTAGGACTTATTCTCAAAAACAGAGGAGAGCTCAAAAGTATGGCGTAGGTTGGAGAGGAGCGCCATTAGTTGGATCATCTATGATTCAGGCGTTACAACAAAAATCTTTTTAGTTGTAATAGTGTTTAATTTTCAATTGACCAAACTGAGGCTCGAACTCAGGACCTTGTCCGTGTTAAGGACACGTGATAACCAACTACACCATCCGGCCTGTTTGAATAACGGGCGCTATTAGAGTACTAGTATACCAACAATAGCATGCCACCATGGATATAGACAATATTTGTTTCCCGGCAAGCGCGAAATAACAACAGAGCTGTGATCTCACTCGTCAATCAATAAAGTTGCCAGTGGGGTGTCATAAAGGACTTTATTTCAAATTTTATCCCCGCCTTCATACTCAGTCCATCCTTAATATGTCGAAGGCTGAGAATAATTACCGAAGAAGTTAGACAGGTGAATGTCTCGGGTCAAAAATGGGGACTGTCCATACGTACGTGGGTTGTTTGTTTCGGTCTGTGCTTGAATCCTGTATTTAGAACCGCAGGTTATTCTATTCCTAGCGCATGTCTATATTTAGAGATCAAGAGATCAAGTCAATCATGATCAGTGTATATGGTCCTAGAATTCCGGGAGAAATAGGAATCAAGTTGTTTTTACTGAGTTATCTTTTACTTTAATTACATACACTTCGCCTGTCACAGGTCAGGCTCCCAGTTACCTGACATAATCACACTCTGCGGTCTTTTGGGATCACCTCGAGTCTATGCGTATACGGTTTGGCGGACAATTTAGCGCACGAACATTTTTAACTCATCAAGTAATCGCTCCCGGGGACAGAGACAAGGACGAAGACGAGGACTAAGATGATGCTCAAGAAGTAGGTAAATTACAAGTCAAAGACGCTTCAGTACCTAAGACCAGTCACTATAATCAAGGGTGCAGTAGCCTACAGCTGTAACATAGTGACTGATCATTATCTTGACTAGTGTGTTTGTGTTTATTGTGCTACTTGAGTCTATGACTATCTAGCACACTGGGCTCCTCACTGACCCAGGCCACACCTTGTACAGTGCCTCTTGCCTCTTTTGTTACTTGAAAGATCAGTGATATATTGCCCATGATGAACAGTCATTCAGCTCAGTAGTTACCTATGGAGTTCGGCCTCATTTTCCACGGAACCTTCTAACCAAAAAAAACAATAAAAATGGTAGCAATGGAAACTGCGTGTGCGGGAAAAAGTCTCAAAAAACCTGCAGGCCCAGCCAGGCGAGGCCTAGACACCGGGACCACATGAGGTGCGCATATTCATCTATATCTCCCTTCTCTGTGATGTTTGAGGCCGACTTGATCCAATGCGCCATCTCTGTATCGGGTGCTGGGTACACTCCGGAAACTCCTCGGATTGCTTTTCCTCCATGATCAAGGGTTGGTGATGAGTAGAGCTCCGACTCTACTATCTGATCTCATCGTGGTTAGCTTCATGATAATGATGATAGTGGGATTTGTTGAGAGATGAAGACGATACAGATGGCGAAAGCGTTTGGGAATCCTTGTCCGAGTGAGGACTTTGTTACTCAATCTCGGCTCTGCAGACTCTACAGTGAGAGCTGGAGGTTCGTAGGGGACACCACTGACAGGTGTTGAGAATAGTCCCCCTGGCAAGAGATTGTAGAACAGATGGATACATTCAAATTAAGCATTTTCATAGTCTCGGAAGAAGCGGAATTTGATTTTTTAAAACAATTTTAAACCGAAAAATATTGTTTGCGCCAAGGCTTTGTTTGGGGAAGGTCCTTCATAGTTAAAGACTCAGTTGGTGGCATAAATCATTTCTATTCTATTCGTTTGCGGAACTTTAGCTAGAATGTAGAAGATATTTGGGTCAGATAGAACTTATTTGCGTTGTATTAATATATTTGGGGGAAAAGATAGAGAAGTCCTGGCAGAAATTTCTCTAGACCGGAGCAAGTTGGTATGAATTCATTGAGAGAAATTGTAGTAAGATGTTATATGATAAGTTTTAGTATGGGATGACGTTAGTATTCATGTTTTGTACTCTGAACACCAATCTGGAGTACTCAAAGGCAAGCTAAATCATTAGCTGTGCTAAGCCATCGTGAGAAAACCCCCTTTCCATGTTTTTTTGTCACGTTAAGACGTGACTAGTATTCATAGTTAGCACCAGATATATATTTTACTAAAGAACTATGGAAAATATGGAAGAAAAACTTTATGGGAGGTTCCACATTTAATGTTGGAAAGTTGGGTACTTTTACTAAACAATTGTTACACGTGGCAAAATCGAACAAGTCACTGCTTTGATGTGGCACTTGATCCAGCCATTTCTTGAAATCCTGACATGATATGCCTTGAATAGTTATCAGCATCTTTCTTTACAGTCTTCATATCAACACGACTCTGTTTGGCAAGAGCAATAGCAGCCACCACACTTTCATCTTCTAGTATCTCACTAGTTCGCTCAATTTCATTCATCCAGTGTCGATTGTTTTGGTCCCTTAGATCGTTATCCTGCACGATAGTATTTTTAAGGACTTCTAAAGCAGTTAATTTTGACTGTACCACATTCAGAGCGTACTGCAACGACTCCATATGGTCCAAGGCCGTGGATGAATCGAAAAATGCTCTTCTAGTGGAAGAAAGATACATTACCCAGCCAATTGTGCTATCTAGGATGGCCAAGGCTAGAAGTCGCTGGAGACGGGAAGTCCAGAAAAAAAACTCAATATTGTCAAGGGTTGTAACGCGTGCGTTTTTTAAAAACGGGTAGTTAAATACTCGATAAATATCAATGGCACCTAATACCATGGCAGCAATGTTTGCGCGTGTTCGCCAAACTTTTCCATCCCGATTCGTGAAGAAAGAACTTGTTGAAAACTCAAGAACAAATAAGTTGAGTAAATGAGGAGTAATTAATATTGGAAGGGCATAATAAAAGTAAGATTTGGGGTCATCCGGGCTACAAAATGTGCAGTTCATGATGGTAGGTTTACCATACTGCAAATATAGCAGTCTTGAGTCGGTAGAGACGATTTTTGATTTGAATAGAAGGTCTGTCTCCGTTAGACCTGAGGGTCGTAGGGCCGCAAGGCGATTAAAGAGAACATCGACGGGTATTTGTAGGCGGGATGATGTGAGAGTAAATATCTCTTCCGGCGAAAAGTACGGTAGTGTTAATACAAGTAGGTAGCACGAAGTACTGAAGAGTATAAAAAGTGCTCCTAACACCGGTTTTGGTACCGGACGTACAGCACTATGAGGCTTTGAAAGTTCGTATTTATAAGCTCGATAGTAGCCCACTAGCTTTGGAAGCAGTATTGGGCCAAAAAAAAGCGTTAAGGTTTTCAGCCTTGAAAAGATTAGCAGGCGAACGATGAGAATATTGAGGCGGTAGCAACATACGTATCCCAACTGACTGACATAGTACCTGTAGCTAGTTTATAAGATGCTTAATTATTCTTGCGGTATGCGCTTCTAGAACCACCTTATCATTAGTGCAAATCTGTCACATTCAGCCTCGTGAGGAATTTGCCGACCATTATAGGTTAGCGTCTCGATGAGTCGCTCAATAAATAAAGCGGCTTCAGCATGGAAATTCTTCTGTCGAGTGCACACTTCTCGAAAAAAAGTGACTCTACCAACTCTAGAAATCTAATTCAACATCTTCATGTACCCAGGTAGGTACCCCAATTTAGCCAAGCTAAAGGGATTTTTCATTATATCTCTATGAATTTCACACACCCAAAATGGCACTTTCGAAGCTGTACGTTTCAAATCTCCATGATGCATCACAGTCAAAAAAGTGCCAAGATCAATCCAAAATACTCTGCCAAGAGTCATCTCATTCGTGTTGCAATATCACGACCCTCAGGGTTATGGTGGTGATTGCGTCTAAATAATGAGAGACATGTAGTCAAACCACATTCTTACATGTAACTAGCGTTCCTAATTTAGCCCTGGTGTGACCCCTTCCTGCCCACTAACAGAAGATTGAGGGTTCCCAAGTGCAATCCCGCAAGAGAAAACTTCGCCCATTAACACGATAAATGTAGAACAAGCGAGTGACCATGCCTGGATACTGATACTACCCAATGGCGCTCTAGGCAAAGATAGCATCCACTCCCCTAAATACGGGACCCAACCTGTAGGGACGTAAAACATCGGCTGCTTTTGGTACCAAAACTGGAGAAACATTCGTAATCCATTGGTGCCAAGCCATCTTATCGTAGTAACAACAGTATCGAACTTTGACTTGGTTTTGTCTGCCGAAATTTCTTTGTCACATCAACCTGTCAGTTTGATACTCATACTTGCTGATACAGCAGAAAACGCACTGGCTTTTTCTAATTTTTCAGACAATTTGTCATGTTGCCTCCTGAGCTTGGCCCACTTGGCAAATTCGTCCTGACTGCTTGTTGCGTTAAGTTGTCTTCGTAGTTGCAGGAATTGGAGCTTAAGCTCGTCGTGTTCCGCCACTGAGTTTGAGCTAAGTCCAAGTAATCGGCTCCAAATACTCCACAACTAGTTTTTGTTAGTTTTAAGCTGATGGTTTAGAATAGGATAGGTCATACTATACTGTTAAGGCTTGAGGCCCCAACCGTATTGATCAGATGAATTGCTAGCTGAAGGAGAAATACGGTAACAAGTAGGGAAGCCATTACGATAGGAGACTCTCAGAGAGTCATGAATGAGAAAGTTTGCTTATTTATTGTGCAATAACTTGCGCTGTATCAAGTGCTCCGGATCTGTTGCGTCGAGGCTGCCATTCAGCCTTGGAAATTGGACTAGATTCTAGCCTCCTATGGCAAAGCGCACAGAGCAAAAAATATTTGGAGAGGGGGAAATCCACAGCTAGCTTGTTGAGGCAGCAAAGGAAACTGTAGCCCTAACCACGTTTAATTCGAAGAAACTGATTATCATGACACAAAATAGCTTCTAGCACGGCCGTTAACACCAATATAACGAAGCCACAGCCTACTATAGCATGATTCCAAAACGAATCATAACGGTAGCATGTCCTCATGTCATCGAAATCTTCAGAGAAATCCTCATTACAGTCGAATACAATACATCAATAGATAAAAAAGACTGAACATCCATCCGTGGTATCCTCTAGGAATGTAGGTGCAAAAAATTCTACAAGAGTTAAGTTTAGTCCAATTTCGCAATGGCGAAGGAATTGACCTTAGGCAATATTTCAAGAAACTCCGCCACATCATTCTCTCTCCCCCAACACGATCGATTCCCACGGAAATCACATCAAGTTTACAAGCACGACCAATAACATACTCGTTTTAATACCCAAACCCCGACAGTTTCACCTCGGCCTTAGCTGTCCTCAAAATATCCGCCATTGAGAGTACGAATACTCGTAGAAGACAAAATTGGATTGCACAGAACTAGAAGGCACACCTTTGGCATAGATGTTCGAGATACTAGTAGAGCTCAAAAAAGGGATGCAAAGTATGAATACTATCTCGAATGGGGTGAGATCTACAAATTGAAGACTATAATGTGTGCCAAACCTTCGATAGATAGAGTTCATGCAACATTATAAATTCCGCCATAGTTGGAAGGTGCAGTGGTACATCATCTTGGTTATTCAGTCAAGTTGGCTTTGGATAGCTTTAACACACATTCCACTAGAGACAGGAGATGGCTGGTTCGAATCAGGCAAAACACATCGATATTTTTCGCGGTGCAAGCTCATATGGATAATTAAGGTATGCTTGTATAATCAAAGGTTTGAATTCCCCCATGGTGGGTATTCACGGATGAGAGTTGACTATTTGTGTAGGCGAACAAACCTCGTAATGGTATTTGCAAATGAAATCTAGAGTATGAGTGTCTCTATCTCCAAAAGATTCATCTAATATTTGTACTTGGCACTGATCATGTGTCATAGCTAGACATCTTAAAACAATTAAATAATTTAAATTTTTTTAATGAATAAACAATGAACATTCAAGCCTTAACGATTATTATCACTGCAAAAAAGGGCTGTTTCGTAGCTTTAAGTTATTTACTTTACTTTTAGTCTATGAAATTTTGTTGTTACACTAGTCTACGCAAAGAAGCAAGGGCTTCGTAGACAAGAATCAGTAATTGTATTACGTATCAATATTTATGCAAGCTCATATTAATGCATAACTCAAGTGTAAGTCGTGCTAATTATTGGGATATCAAGGATCAAATAATGCCGGTACGCCATACTTGAATACCTCAGACACCCAATAGGCATGTCTGTAGAGAAAATTGGATATGTAAGCCCTCAGGCGCCTATACTCTTTCTATAGACTGTGCATTCATCTTAATATCCATTTATTCTCAGACAGTCTGAATACATGGATTCCCTCGCCAGAATATTCATTCCCCATTTTTCTCCATATTTACTGTCCAACAAGAATCCCTATCCATCTAACCTCATAATTATAAAACTTTAGTTATATTAGCGTCCGGAGTTTTGTGCTAAATGAAATGCCTCTCAAGGAGCAGGAAGAATAGAATGCTTGTATTAAAAATGCCATTCGAAGAACTCAGGCAAGTAGCAACAGCCACACAGTGTTGGGTCAATAGTGATGTTTCAGATGTAACATGCTCGCGAGATAAACCAAGGCAGTAAGAGAGTGATGAGAGGTAAAAAAGCTTTACATGCGGTTTTGTTGCATGGCAGTAGCCCATTCTCTCGGTCTGATTCAGTTTACGCGCTGTAGCTGACCAAACCAGACGCCCATACTTTCATTTTTATAGCCCTCCCTCAAGATGAGACTATTTAGGACTTGCATTTCCCCTTTGCTGACAGGTCAAGGATACCAATGCACCCGGCAGTATATCCCCTCCTCTGCTTCCTGGGTAGCTCTTATTAGACAGCCCCACCTCTAACGAGTCGCCACCTGACCGGGCAACTTGAGAAGCTATTAATCCTTTATTCTTTCCTCGCTACAGTCATCCCAACGCTGGCCATTTGCGGTAGTATGGTGGCCGGGGAAAACTACAAAAGCCGATTGATGCTGGTTTCTCGTAGTACCTCTTAAGAAAGATACGTGGGACACGGTATCACGTTTTAAATGCTGACTAGAGAGCCTTGCTGCTACAGATGAAGTCTATGTACTGATAGCCAGGTCATGTGACCTGGCTATCTTAGTTAAGATGAGTAGGTGGAATAGTTTGCCTTGACAGTACCGAGATCAGGACTAAATCCGAAGACAAAGCTATCCTTCCATAGCGCTCAAAGAGACCGGTCAGCCAGGCGCTGTAGACTTGTGAGTGCCTCGGGGAATTCGCTCTCTGACTTTTTAGCCTGCTTCCAACCTCATCCAGAAGGTCGTGATTAAGTGTCGGAAAGGTCATGATGGAGCGTGATTGCCGTACAATAGCGTAGCCTAAATGCTTCGTGCAGTCCAAGCACTGGGCTGAGCCGTTGACTCAATGAAAAAAAAAGTCCTTCCGACCAGCTACTCGTAACTGTAGTCTTGACGCCTATTTAAATCGAACGTCAAAGCCCCGCGAGAAACATAGCTCTCATTCTACGTTCCAGCTGCCTATCCTTCCTCACGTTGTGGATACCAATTACAGCAGAGGGCCTCGAGAGCCGAGACCCAAGCTTCAAACCTCTCTATTTCTTTTCCTCCTCGTGCATTTCGGTTGTATCCCCATTTGATAGTGGCGTGTAGCGAGTAGTTGAAGGAGCAAGCTTCCGTTTGTAATTAGAGCAACTTCCTGCCGCACCATTGCGTCGAGATGATTCGTGGTTAGATTGAATCGGAGGACCAGCGCGAGAATGGCAGATGAGATATTGATGAGAAGTCGTCCATTTAATTCTTTTTTAATTCATTTTATTATCCTCTCTGAGTCTATGACTATGTAGGACACGCAGGTCCTCTCTGCCTACAGGCCAAGGATACCTATACCAGTAGTTTATCCCCTCCTATGCCTCCCATACAACTCCCCTCAAACAGTACCACCCCTCACAAGTCTCCATTCGATCATACACTTAGAGGAGTTCTTTGCCTTTCATTATCTTCTCTCTCCAGCTAACGAAACGATGGCCATTTGCGGGTGTATGGCAGCCGGGAAAAATCGCAAAAAACCACTGGGTGCGGGGTTCTTCTAATACCGACATTAGGAATAAATCCGAAGACATATTGCCCCTTCTGAAGCGTTCGAAGAGGCCGGCCAGCTGGGCGCTGCAGACTTGTGGGTACCTCGGGAAATTCACCCTCTGCCTTTCTAGCCTCCTTCCAACTCCATCCCGAAGGTCGTGCTGAAATGTCAGAAAAGTCTTGACAGAGCGTGATTGCTGTATGGTAGCTTAGCCTACCTTCTATTGTACCGTCCAGGGCACTGGGAGTACCGTTGACTCATCGACAGAACAAGCTCTCCTCGCTAATTAGCCGAAATCTCAGTCTTGGCGCCCACAAAAGTTTCAAAGGTGACATCTCCTCGAAAAGGTCAGTTCCAGCATGGTCTTCAGAGACCTCTTTCCTCTCTCGCTCAACATCTCAGCCGCTTGTTCTTACTCAAGATGTATGACCCCAATAGAGCAACAGTCCCTCATAAACCAAGACCCCAACTCTGTATTTTTCGACTTGATTTCCTCCTTGCGGGTATAAATAGCGTCGTAAATATGTAGAGAGTGATGGCCGGTAATGAATGAGGCAAGCTCCTGTTTGCAAATGGGGTGACGCCTCTATCAGTTGGCGAGGCGAGTTGATATGTGGTTAGATCGGGTTTGAGGACTCAGAAGATAATGATGAGTGCTGCATGGTTGAGAAGTCGTCAAATGGAGATATGCATGTGTTTGCTTTCGACTTCGATTCGGATGCGATTCTTCTTGGCTAACTACTCTGATGTTACTGTCGCAGTTGGCATGAGTGCACCCATGTACAAAGTATAAGCGCTAGTATATGATACAGGGAGTAAATAGCCCCAGCACGACTATAATTACGATCAGCGCTAAGAGCTGAGTTCAAAGGTGTGAGTGTTTATTGTCCTAAATAGTCTCAAACTATGTAAGGTCATGAAGGTCCTTTCTGCCTACAAGCCGGGAGTATCTATGCCTCGGGCAGTTTACTCCCTCCTTTTACTCCCTCACGACTTCTTTCCAGCAGTAATACTGTTGGAAATGGAGACACAGAGTGTTGTGGACGTACGTGCCCACCATTTCTTCTAGGTTCCCGACACGATCTTGTGTGTATGAAAGAGGTTGGAATGGGTCATATGGTAGCGCTTCAGGCTACCTATTGGACATATGAGCGGCTGTATGGCGTTGGCACAAGGAGGTTATTGGGGGCTTTCTATGCCTAGATGGCGCCACACTCGTTTATGCTGTGGCTTAGGCTGCGTGTCGCTCACACTTGTACCTTTTTTGCATCAGGTTTTAATTGCGTGTGCAGCTATCTAGCTATGACAAAATATCAGAGAAATGAACAGAAAAGATGACTCAATTTACAAGAAGAGCACTTATGCCTCAGTCTTCATTTGCAAGTACCACTGTGAAGTTATGGTGGCTTTTTCTTCACCCCAAGTCAACCCTCATCCGTGAATACCCACCCAGGGGAACATCTCAAAAACCCTGAGTTATCCAGACAACACTTGTACTAGTAGCGCACACTTTCCACACTTTTAGCTGTAATCCGAACATGACACTCTTTCAGTC